CTTTCTTAAAGTAAATTCTAAAATATTTTCTTTACTTTCCGAGAAATCCCCCCGAATAATTGCTTTCTTGGAATACTTCGAAATTGCCCAATTTCAAGCTTTATCAACTGATTATCTCGATGGAAATCTTTCTCGATCATTTTTTTCTTCACAAAACTTTCCCTGTAAGATAGTAATAAATAATTCCAGTCACAACCATTATATCATCTGTCGCACTACTCTTCAGATTTCCTCAACCAATTCTTCACCCACAACCAGTAACGTGATCACTAGGCTACATTTGCTGTTTTCAGCAAACGTTAACATCAGAATAAATTTTCAGCAAAAAATTCGTCTTCGTGGTCCTATGCCAGTAGCTGATTACATGCGTACAGTGGTGTCGTCGCCTTCTGTTGGTTACTATTCGAGCTATTCGAAAGATGGTCGTGGTTCGGTGATATTCGGTGAAAAGGGTGATTTCATAACAGCACCTGAGTTGACTCAAATGTTTGGCGAAATAATTGGTGTTTGGTGTTATTATGAATTGGCTAATACGGGTTAGCGTTTTTCATTTCAGCGTTACCACAATTTCAAAAAAAAAAATTCATTCTTCACTTTTAGCATATTCCGCTTTAGTCTATTAACTGTTCATATCCACATTTTGAACGCTCACAAATGGTTACTATGTCAGCTTACTCTGTGAAATTATCTCATTCACGAAAGACTGTTCTTGGTTTTGAAGCCGAAGGCAAAAATGTTTCATTCAGAATTGTACTGTCAGTATTTTTGCTCAAAATAGTTATTGTGAGGTAATTTTTTGAATCTCGGAATGCGCACCATCTTTACTATCGAAATGTTCTCGGATTTAACCCCGTCGCGGTTGACAGTCATCAATTATTTTAGGTCATAAAGGNTGATAGAAGTGGAGAAACTGGTGCAAATTAACAAAAAAGTCAGAATAGTACCTTTTTGTTGTACTTCTTCAGTGCCAACTTACAATAATTAGTTCCATAGATTTCATCACATTCTAGCACTAAAGCTGACAATTATTGTTTCGTTTAAGGAGACTAAAATGTCGATTCATTTAGTTGAAACGTCGGATAATTTAATATTGGAACAAGAGAAGAGATTATGCTCGAGAGCATCTGAATTCATCGAAAATAATGCACATATTCGTTATAACACCACTCGTACGGGAATACCGATTTATTGGTATCGTAATTTGAATGAAATTCCTGAAAAGGTTGGTTTTAATACGAGAAACTTAAGTTATTTGTTTCTTTCGCTATCCATTCACCGATTTATTCTTCCATTAAACATCAGC